AAAAAAAAAAAAAGGAGGAAGAAAGGAAATGGATGTTAGGCAGGCGGGCAATCAAGGAGTGTCACTATGATTTAAAAAACCCAGCAGAATTAGTATGTGATTCAGGGAGTCATTTAATAGTAGAGATTTTTAAAGAATAAACATTATCCATGTATGTGGACAGAGCTGGTTTCCATCTTGTGGTCACTTCATTCTACTCATCCCCAGTGCTTGCCTCATGCCACATCAGATTTTAACGCTGTTCTCTCAATCTTTGGAAGTTCTGCTGCTCTGGGTACCACTTTTCCAATCCTGGTGTCAGAACTAGACAATTTAGTGACTTGGAGATGGTAGTATCATTTAAATGCTCGCTATTTGCATGGATTGGCATCTGTGATAGGAGTTTTTACCAATTCAGTTATTCTGTCCTGAAACCCGTTTGGAGGCCTCAGGGACCCGCAGCTTTTCTTCCTTCCCTGCTCCTGCTGACAGATGATAATGTGCATGTGAATGATGATCACACTTGTTTAATGTTTCCATCGTCTCGCTTCTTGTTCCCCATGCCAGCATTTTGCCAAGACGATGAACTCGAATGCGCGAACCATGAGTGTGTGTCCCGTGAGCGCTGGTGCGATGGTGAAGCCGACTGCTTGGACAGTTCTGATGAGTGGGACTGTGGTGAGCTGTGTGTTTCTGACATTGGCCACCCACTGGAACACCTATCAGCTATTTAAGCTTAATAAGTCCTAAGTGACTTCACAGAATTTACTGACCAATTTCATCTGTTTTGTTTTACTATGATAAAAGCTGGCAGTAGTGATTCATAGATGTTATTTCCAACGCACAGAACATTTCCCCCTAAGTTATTTTGTTATTTGAAATGTCCATATTATATGTAAAAACATCTGGGTTTAAATTGTTATGACCATATAGCTGCTAGAATACAATTTTTAGATTCTTTATTATCACCCAGCTTCAACAATTATTAATATTCTGTCATTCTGATATCATGGACACCTCCTGGAATAGGGTATTAGAGTGGGTCTTCCACATGAATAGACATTTCTCCAAAGAATACATACAAATGGCTAAGGCACATGAAAAAATGCTCAACATCACTCATCATCCAGGAAATACAAATCAAAAGTACAACGAGATACTACCTTACACCTGTCAGAATGGCTAAAATGAACAACTCAGGAAACAACAGATGTTGACGAGGATGCGGAGAAAGGGGAACCCTCTTAACACTGGTTGGTAGGAATGCAGACTGGTACAGCCACTCTGGAAAACAATATGGAGGTTCTTCAAAAAGTTAAAAATAGAACTACCCTACAATGCAGCCATTGCACTACTAGGTATTTACCCAAAGGATACAAAAGTACTGATTCAAAGGGGCACAGGCACCCCAATGTTTATAGCAGCTTTATCAATAATAGCCAAATTATAGAAAAAGCCCAAATGTCCATTGACCGATGAATGGATAAAGAAGAGGTGGTATGTATATACAATGGAGTACTACTTGGCAATCAGAAAGAATGAAATCTTGCCGTTTGCAACAAAGTGGATGGAGCTAGAATGTGTTACGCTAAGTGAAATAAGTCAGTTAGGAAAAGACAAATATCGTGTGATTTCACTCATGTGGAGTTGAAGGAACAAAACAGATGAACACAGGGGAAGGGAAGGAAAATTAAAATACTATAAAAACAGAGAGGGAGACAAACCATAAGAGACTTAATGATAGAGAACACACTGAGGGTTGATGGAGGGGTGGTGGTGGGGGGATGGGCTAAGTGGGTGATGGGCATTAAGGAGGGTGCTTCTTGTGATGAGCACTGAGTGTTGCATGTAAGTGATGAATCACTAGATTCTACTCCTAAAACTAATACCACACTGTATGTTAACTAAGTTGAATTTAAATAAGATCTTGGAGGGAAAAAAAAGAGAAAAAAATGTAAAATGCTCATGGAAAATCCAACAAACTATATTCAAAGTTTTGAAATAAATTATTATTGATTATTTTTAAAAAAGCGGGTCTTCCGTCTTCCCTGTGCTCTTGCTCTAGATCCAAAGGAAATAGATATCTACCTAGCTCCTTACATGGACAGGACCTAAAGGCATCTCCCACCAGTATCCAGTGTTGCAGTTTGTAATCTTGGGTTTGATTAATTCTGTTGTTCCATATTCATCATCCTTCCATTCACTGAGCTCTTATTTCAGTCCTTTGCATCATCTGGCCACACCATGATCATCATTTGTGCTGTGATTAATTGCACAGTGTTTCACAAGTAATCTATGGCGTAGGAAGTAGAGAGGATGCTCTATTGTAAAATAGGAATTAGAGCATATACCAAATTAGTCCTAACTTAACATCGCTTGCCTACCCTTGCCTTCTCACATACTCTCTTGAAAGGAAATGAAATGAACAAAATGACAACTAACCCCTGATAGCTGTGCAAATCACTGGATAAACTCAAGGGATTTGAGTGCTGCCTCTGGTCGTCTTGTAAGTCGTAAAGAAAAGTTAAGAACTGCCCATGTCTTTCACTAGAGCCTGTGGTTCCTGGAGGGCAGAGAACATTTCTAATTCACTTTTTGCAGTCTTCCACAACACTGAGAGCAGTGCTAAGCACAGGGCAAGCACTCATCAAGTGGTTCTTAAAACAACGAAACACAAATGCAAGCAAAGCGAAAGCATGTTAAGTTAGCGTTTGGTTTCCTGAGCAGAAATGTTTCTAATTAGGGTTTTCCCTTTCTTTTTTTTCTCCGCAGTGACCCTCTCTAAAAATGTGAGCTCCTCCTCATTCCTGACGGCTCACAGATCTGCCAAAGAACACCACGTGTGTGCGGATGGCTGGCAGGAGACGTTGAGTCAGCTAGCCTGCAAGCAGATGGGTTTAGGGTAAGGTCAGTAGTTTGTAGCACTGATGAGTTTCTCAGAAGGCTTCGTGGAATTGGCAATAACATCTTCCTTATGAATGCAGAGTGAGTTAGTGCTCTCACATAGAGCCCTCCAGAGCATGGGAAATGAATCAGGTGAGAGAACCATATTTAATGACAGGCACCTGCTCTGAAGAGGCTGCGGTGAAAAGCCACTTTGATGAAGCCTCTCGCTACATGTAAATGCAGTAATTGTAGTAAATGCAGTAATTGTATTTTAACAACTTCTGAAAGGAAACACTTTGAGTGTTTGCAAAAGCATTAAGACGGTTTCCTCCAAGCAACCTGGATGGGGAAATATTGAGGTTTTTCTCCCAAGAGGTACTGAAAATTTCTTTTTAAGCAACACACATTTTTTAATAAGTTGAGAAATAGAACTTAAAGTTGACGGCATTTCAGTTTACCCTCAGTAGTAATTAGGAAACGTAAATCAGGAAATAGTTCGCCATTTTGGCTCCTTAGTAGAATGAAAAGACACTAACTCTGGCTTTGATACAAATAGACTGAAACCTATACTTTGAAAGTTGGATACTTGCTATGTTGTGGGGTTTTCTTTTTCAGTTCTGTTGGGGATGGAAAGCAATAACTGAGGGTCTTAGATGTATATGTGAGGATATGTATTCACATATATTTTTTTTTTTAATTTTTTTTTCAACGTTTATTTATTTTTGGGACAGAGAGAGACAGAGCATGAACGGGGGAGGGGCAGAGAGAGAGGGAGACACAGAATCGGAAACAGGCTCCAGGCTCTGAGCCATCCGCCCAAGCCTGACGCGGGGCTCGAACTCACGGACCGCGAGATCGTGACCTGGCTGAAGTTGGACGCTTAACCGACTGCGCCACCCAGGCGCCCCCACATATATTTTTTTTTACCCCTGCTGTATGTGAGATTTGGGGGGAAATGTGGAAATGATGGAAATAAAAGACAAACAAATTTTAAAGTTCTAGAATAAAAAATTGAGTAAATGTCATTTCCCAGGATTCCACTGAACAAACTTGAAACAATTTTTCAATAATGAGCTATGAATTATGGGATAGAAACTAGCAGCGCATTTTTGTTATCTCAGTTTGAAGAGTGACATAAATCCCAGTATCTTCAGCCTATTTTCCCCATGTAAAGTCTTACATCTTTGGAAAGTTGAGTAACTGATGCTACTATGTAAGAAAGAACTTTCAACTTTGCCAGAGCGGAAAAATTATATCCATCAAGATCCATTGAATTATACTTCATTTTCACAACATCCTTACGGATATCTAAATGAAATGGTATGTGACTGTGATCAGAGATAAATGAAAAGCCTTTTGAATGAGCTTTATTTTCCTCTCACCAAAACATAGGTTATTTCTTAATATGAAAACTGGATTAACATAATGATCGATAACTCTGTTGAGAGTTCTGAGGAAAAGTCGCAACCGCAAAGATTTTGCCAGCCGAAAAATTCTTCTGACAGGCCACCCTGCTCTATTATAAACAGAAGGGATCTTGTTTTAAATATTCTCTTTGATATCTCTTCTAATTTTTTTGTATATTGGATTTTCGTTTTTTATTTTGATGAGATACATATAACATAACTCACCATCTTAACCATTTTAAAGGGTAAATTCAGTGGCATTTAGTGTATTCACAATGCTATGCAACCATCTCCATTATCTGGCTTCTTTCACTTAGCATAGTGTTTTTATACAACTACGGACCAGCATTTCATTGCTGTTTATGGCTGAAAAAATATTACATTGCATGGATACACCACATTTTTAAATCTGTTCATCCAACGAGGCACATTTTGGTGATTGCCATCTTTGGCTATTGTGTGCATATTGGATTTTTTTTTTAAATTTCTTATGCTACTTTCTTCATTTCTTTAAAATAGTGGGAAAATGCTATTTCAATATATTAGATATTTAAAATGTAAAAAGACATTTAGATTTTTTTTAAACATACCTTTATTTCACAGAAAGGCTAGGAAAGTCTGAGAGAGCAGTGTAGCTGGAAAACCATAAGCATTATTTGAGTGAGTTAATGGGTAAGTAGTGATAAGTCTTTGAAGGAAATGAGTAGGAAGGGTAACCTTAGTATTTTTGTACTTTCTGATCGCCGTCAAGAGAACTCTTCAGTTTTCTTGCGTAGATCGTGAATTGACAGAAATCTGGAGAGCCAGGCTGGGGCAGGAATGAAGATAATGGGCAAGAAGAGGCCATTGATTCCTACAGTAGGAATGGGCTACTTAGGAATCTGCTCTGTTCCCACTGTCTCTGGTGAGTCGCAGCTGTACTGTGAATTCACAGGTCTGCCACTGATGCCTCAAAGTCTAAGTGACCCTGCATCTGAGTCATTTCCTCTAGATTCAAAGTCCCTACAGAAAGGTCTGTCTGGCCATGATTAGTCATTGACCTACACTCCAGCTGCCAAAGGAAGGGAAAATATTATAGCTGTCCTCTTTAAGCTTCTGGAGTGGAGTAGGTCTGTCTTTATACCTTCAAACATGCTTTACACCCAGAAACTTGAAGCTTAAAGCACAACCCCAATTAGTTCTATTCAGTATGTCTTTCCTATTGGGTTTTTGTTTTGTTTTGTTGTTGTTGTTGTTGTTGTTGTTGTTGTTTTGAGAATCTGCTATGGGCCTTGAACTAGAGTAGGCATTATGTGGAGGATGCAGGGGTGAAAATATCATCAAAGAGCTTACCATGTAGTGGGGAAGACACATAAGGAAACAACCTAGAACATAAAGTTGTTGGAAAAAACTTCCAGACTTTTTGTCATCTGAGAATGGTTCATGTACAGCATAGCACCTGGCATACCTATTAGAAGTATATAAGAAAAATATTCAACTCTATCATTGTCTTGATATTATAATATACATTTAAGTCATTCATTTAGTCATTCAGTAAACATTTATAGAGAATAGCGTTGTAGTGTAGTGTCCCAAACTAATATACTTTAACTCCAAATGCAGGGAGGGGACAGGTTGGAGTTAGTTTATCAAAATGTAAGTCTAGACCGAATTACGTGTTTTGAGGGCTTCTATTGAAATACTTTCATGATAGAGGCAGTTGATTAAAAAACCTACACTTGGAGTTTTTCAGATGCAAATTACACCTTCCATGTCTAACAGCACAAATGCTCAGCTCTCAACTAAGTGCTTGCCCAAATGAGAAGATTGAGAGTTCTTTGCTGAATCTGTACAACTTTTTACGCCCATCTGCAGATATCATGAGTTCACCCCAGCCTGGAAGTATGATGACTATTTGATTAGACAAGGATATAAATCAGCCCCTAATTCTCATGACAGTATATTGACTTTGCTACCTACATGCCCAGTATTAGAAACATATGGACATTTATTTAATCAACAATACAAATCAGAATTTAGACTGCCCTCTAATACTTGCCAAATGTTCAGTTCAGACATCTGGTATTTGAGAAAGTTGGTCTAAGAGAATGTGATTCTCGGTGTCCCTTGGCTTCATAAACTTTATATAAAACCAGATCATCTGGAAATAGGCTATTCTACTTTGACAAAAATTCCTATATGGGATTGGTTGAAGTTTGATTTTGTGTCCTAATGTTTTAGAGTTGGTCAATAGAAGCACCAGGCTTCCAAAGAATATTTCTTTATTTTGGGCTAAACCACAAAGATAGCCTCAATTGTATTACCTGAGAGTCGCTGATATAAGGATTTATATCGAAATTTTTCCCGGAAGTGTACTTCCAGGGAAAATCTTCTAACTTCAGATTCCATTTGTCATATAAGGATGGTTTCCTTATTGATTGACTTCCATGAAACTCGTGAAGCTCAAAGACAAGACTAAATCCTGTGTGGTAGTAGATCCAGCCCAGGCTGCTGGTCCTGTACAAGGAAACCATGGAAAAGAAGCTTGAATCCTTATGGTCTTTTTTTTAAATATACAATATAATTCATATACCATAAAATTCACGCTTTAAAAGTGTACAATTCAGTCATTTTTAATATATTCACAATATTGTGCAGTCGTCACCACTGATTCCTAAACATTTCATCATTTGGAAAAGAAACCCCATGCCTCTAACAATCACTCCCCATTTCTCCTCCCTAAACCCCGGACAAACACGACTTTCTGCTTCTAGAGACTTGCCCATTGTGCACGTTTCATAAAAACAGAATCATCTAATATATGCCTTTTTTTGTCTCGTCTCTTTCACTTGGCATAATGTTTTCAAGGTTTATCTATGTTTTATAATATGTATCAGTGCTTCCTTCCTATCTATGGCTGACTAATATTCCATTGTGTAGATATATCCACACTTTGATTATCCATTCCTCAATTGATGGATATTTGGGTTGTTTCCATTTTTTTGGCTCTTATGAAAATGTTGCTAAGAACATTGATGTACAAGTTTTGTGTGAATGTATGTTTTCAGTTTCTCCTGGGTGTAGACTCAGGACTAAAATTTCTGGGTCAGATTTTTAATTTTTTGAAGAACTGCCAAACTGTCTTCCAAAAGGGCTGCACCACATTATACTTTTCCCAGAACTGCATGAGGGTCATGAGAGTAGAGCCCAGATGAATGGAATTAGTGTCCTTGTAAAAGAAACCCCAGAGAGCTCTTTCACCCCTTCCACCATGTGATGACCCAGCAAGAAGATGGCCATCTTATTATAAACAAGGAAGCGGGTATTTACCAGACACCAAATCTGCCAAGACCTTGGTCTTGGATTTCTCAACTTCCAGAACTGTGGGAAATAAATTTCTGTTGTTTACAAGCCACCCAGGCTATGGTAAATTGTTATAGAAGACTGAATAGATTAAGGTAGAAATAAATAATTTCTCTGGAAAAATCTTTCATTTCACATATATTTTTTTTTAACCAAAAAAGTTTGGACTATTTTCCCCAATTAGTGGACTCACCATAAACTATTTCATCTGTCTTTAACTTTGTACCCCTTTATACGCTCCTTCTCTTTCAAGACTGACTTGTCTTTT